CGATAGCTCAGTTGGTAGAGCGGTGGACTGTAGGTGTTTCATGACGGATATCCATAGGTCGCTGGTTCGAATCCGGCTCGACGGAAACTATTTATTTCAGTGAAAGTTTTTGTTAACATTTTGTTCTTTCAAACCATCTATGATTGACAGCATTGTGGACGTCTGCGAGACACTACCGTATCCAATGACTCTAAATGCTTGAACTTTATTTCAACGAAACCCCCGACCGTCGATAGCTCAGTTGGTAGAGCGGTGGACTGTAGGTGTTTCATGACGGTTATCCATAGGTCGCTGGTTCGAATCCGGCTCGACGGAAACTATTTATTTCAGTGAAAGTTTTTGTTAACTTTTTGTTCTTTCAAACCATCTATGATTGACAGCATTGTGGACGTCTGTGAGACACTACCCTATCCAATCATTCTAAATGCTTGAACTTTATTTCGAACGAAACCCCCGACCGTCGATAGCTCACCCTATCCAATCATTCTAAATGCTTGAACTTTATTTCGAACGAAACCCCCGACCGTCGATTGGTAGAGCGGTGGACTGTAGGTGTTTCATGACGGATATCCATAGGTCGCTGGTTCGATCCGGCTCGACGGAAACTATTTATTTCAGTGAAAGTTTTTGTTAAATTTTTGTTCTTTCAAACCATCTATGATTCTATGATTGACAGCATTAAATGGACGTTATTTCGAACGAGACACTAGCCAGTTGGTATCCAATCATTCTAAATGCTTGAACTTTATTTCAGTTTTTTTGTTAACATTTTGTTCTTTCAAACGAAACCCCCGACCGTCGATAGCTCAGTTGGTAGAGCGGTGGACTGTAGGTGTTTCATGACGGATATCCATAGGTCGCTGGTTCGAATCCGGCTCGACGGAAACTATTTATTTCAGTGAAAGTTTTTGTTAACATTTTGTTCTTTTAAACCATCTATGATTGACAGCATTGTGGACGTCTGCGAGACACTACCGTATCCAATGACTCTAAATGCTTGAACATTATTTCGAACGAAACCCCCGACCGTCGATAGCTCAGTTGGTAGAGCGGTGGACTGTAGGTGTTTCATGACGGTTATCCATAGGTCGCTGGTTCGAATCCGGCTCGTCGGAAACTATTTATTTCAGTGAAAGTTTTTGTTAAATTTTGTTCTTTCAAACCATCTATGATTGACAGCATTGTGGACGTCTGTGAGACACTAGCCTATCCAATCATTCTAAATGCTTGAACTTTATTTCGAACGAAACCCCCGACCGTCGATAGCTCAGTTGGTAGAGCGGTGGACTGTAGGTGTTTCATGACGGATATCCATAGGTCGCTGGTTCGAATCCGGCTCGACGGAAACTATTTATTTCAGTGAAAGTTTTTGTTAACATTTTTTGTTCTTTCAAACCATCTATGATTGACAGCATTGTGGACGTCTGTGAGACACTACCCTATCCAATCATTCTAAATGCTTGAACTTTATTTCGAACGAAACCCCCGACCGTCGATAGCTCAGTTGGTAGAGCGGTGGACTGTAGGTGTTTCATGACGGATATCCATAGGTCGCTGGTTCGAATCCGGCTCGACGGAAACTATTTATTTCAGTGAAAGTTTTTGTTAACATTTTTTGTTCTTTCAAACCATCTATGATTGACAGCATTGTGGACGTCTGTGAGACACTACCCTATCCAATCATTCTAAATGCTTGAACTTTATTTCGAACGAAACCCCCGACCGTCGATAGCTCAGTTGGTAGAGCGGTGGACTGTAGGTGTTTCATGACGGATATCCATAGGTCGCTGGTTCGAATCCGGCTCGACGGAAACTATTTATTTCAGTGAAAGTTTTTGTTAACATTTTGTTCTTTCAAACCATCTATGATTGACAGCATTGTGGACGTCTGTGAGACACTACCCCTATCCAATCATTCTAAATGCTTGAACTTTATTTTACCCCGACCGAACGAAACCCCGACCGTCGATAGCTCAGTTGGTAGAGCGGTGGACTGTAGGTGTTTCATGACGGATATCCATAGGTCGCTGGTTCGAATCCGGCTCGACGGAAACTATTTATTTCAGTGAAAGTTTTTGTTAAATTTTTTGTTCTTTCAAACCATCTATGATTGACAGCATTGTGGACGTCTGTGAGACACTACCCTATCCAATCATTCTAAATGCTTGAACTTTATTTCGAACGAAACCCCGACCGTCGATAGCTCAGTTGGTAGAGCGGTGGACTGTAGGTGTTTCATGACGGATATCCATAGGTCGCTGGTTCGAATCCGGCTCGACGGAAACTATTTATTTCAGTGAAAGTTTTTGTTAAATTTTTTGTTCTTTCAAACCATCTATGATTGACAGCATTGTGGACGTCTGTGAGACACTACCCTATCCAATCATTCTAAATGTTGAACTTTATTTCGAACGAAACCCCCGACCGTCGATAGCTCAGTTGGTAGAGCGGTGGACTGTAGGTGTTTCATGACGGTAGGTTTCATGACGGAAACTATTTATCCATGAAAGGTCGCTGGTTCGAATCCGGCTCGACGGAAACTATTTATTTCAGTGAAAGTTTTTGTTAAGGTCGCTTTTTGTTCTTTCAAACCATCTATGATTGACAGATAAATGCTTGAACTTTATTTCGAACGAAACCCCCGACCGTCGATAGCTCAGTTGGTAGAGCGGTGGACTGTAGGTGTTTCATGACGGATATCCATAGGTCGCTGGTTCGAATCCGGACGACGGAACCCAGTGAAAGTTTTTGTTAACATTTTGTTCTTTCAAACCATCTATGATTGATTCCTATCCAATCATTCTAAATGCTTGAACTTTATTTCGAACGAAACCCCCGACCGTCGATAGCTCAGTTGGTAGAGCGGTGGACTGTAGGTGTTTCATGACGGATATCCATAGGTCGCTGGTTCGAATCCGGCTCGACGGAAACTATTTATTTCAGTGAAAGTTTTTGTTAAATTTTTTGTTCTTTCAAACCATCTATGATTGACAGCATTGTGGACGTCTGTGAGACACTACCTATCCAATCATTCTAAATGCTTGAACTTTATTTCGAACGAAATCCCCCCGACCGTCGATAGCTCAGTTGGTAGAGCGGTGGACTGTAGGTGTTTCATGACGGATATCCATAGGTCGCTGGTTCGAATCCGGCTCGACGGAAACTATTTATTTCAGTGAAAGTTTTTGTTAACTTTTTGTTCTTTCAAACCATCTATGATTGACAGCATTGTGGACGTCTGTGAGACACTACCCTATCCAATCATTCTAAATGCTTGAACTTTATTTCGAACGAAACCCCCGACCGTCGATAGCTCAGTTGGTAGAGCGGTGGACTGTAGGTGTTTCATGACGGTTATCCATAGGTCGCTGGTTCGAATCCGGCTCGACGGAAACTATTTATTTCAGTGAAAGTTTTTGTTAAATTTTTTGTTCTTTCAAACCATCTATGATTGACAGCATTGTGGACGTCTGTGAGACACTAGCCTATCCAATCATCTAAAAATGCTTGAACTTTATTTCGAACGAAACCCCCGACCGTCGATAGCTCAGTTGGTAGAGCGGTGGACTGTAGGTGTTTCATGACGGATATCCATAGGTCGCTGGTTCGAATCCGGCTCGACGGAAACTATTTATTTCAGTGAAAGTTTTTGTTAATTTTTTGTTCTTTCAAACCATCTATGATTGACAGCATTGTGGACGTCTGTGAGACACTAGCCTATCCAATCATTCTAAATGCTTGAACTTTATTTCGAACGAAACCCCCGACCGTCGATAGCTCAGTTGGTAGAGCGGTGGACTGTAGGTGTTTCATGACGGATATCCATAGGTCGCTGGTTCGAATCCGGCTCGACGGAAACTATTTATTTCAGTGAAAGTTTTTGTTAACATTTTGTTCTTTCAAACCATCTATGATTGACAGCATTGTGGATATCTGTGAGACACTAGCCTTCGCAATCATTCTAAATGCTTGAACATTATTTCGAACGAAACCCCCGACCGTCGATAGCTCAGTTGGTAGAGCGGTGGACTGTAGGTGTTTCATGACGGATATCCATAGGTCGCTGGTTCGTTCTCCGGCTCGACGGAAACTATTTATTTCAGTGAAAGTTTTTGTTAACATTTTGTTCTTTCAAACCATCTATGATTGACAGCATTGTGGACGTCTGTGAGACACTAGCCTATCCAATCATTCTAAATGCTTGAACTTTATTTCGAACGAAACCCCCGACCGTCGATAGCTCAGTTGGTAGAGCGGTGGACTGTAGGTGTTTCATGACGGATATCCATAGGTCGCTGGTTCGAATCCGGCTCGACGGAAACTATTTATTTCAGTGAAAGTTTTTTTTGTTAACTTTTTGTTCTTTCAAACCATTTTTGATTGACAGCATTGTTTTGTTCAATTTCTAAATGCTTGAACATCTTTGATTGACCGTCGATAGCTTGTTGGTAGAGCGGTGGACTGTAGGTGTTTCATGACGGTTATCCATAGGTCGCTGGTTCGAATCCGGCTCGACGGAAACTATTTATTTCAGTGAAAGTTTTTGTTAACATTTTGTTCTTTCAAACCATCTATGATTGACAGCATTGTGGAACTGAGACACTACCCTATCCAATCATTCTAAATGCTTGAACTTTATTTCGAACGAAACCCCCCCGATAGCCGACCGTCGATAGCTCAGTTGGTAGAGCGGTGGACTGTAGGTGTTTCATGACGGATATCCATAGGTCGCTGGTTCGAATCCGGCTCGACGGAAACTATTTATTTCAGTGAAAGTTTTTTTGTTAACTTTTTTGTTCTTTCAAACCATCTATGATTGACAGCATTGTGGACGTCTGTGAGACACTAGCCTATCCAATCATTCTAAATGCTTGAACTTTATTTCTGAACGAAACCCCGACCGTCGATAGCTCAGTTGGTAGAGCGGTGGACTGTAGGTGTTTCATGACGGATATCCATAGGTCGCTGGTTCGAATCCGGCTCGACGGAAACTATTTATTTCAGTGAAAGTTTTTGTTAAATTTTTGTTCTTTCAAACCATCTATGATTGACAGCATTGTGGACGTCTGTGAGACACTACCCTATCCAATCATTCTAAATGCTTGAACTTTATTTCGAACGAAACCCCCGACCGTCGATAGCTCAGTTGGTAGAGCGGTGGACTGTAGGTGTTTCATGACGGATATCCATAGGTCGCTGGTTCGAATCCGGCTCGACGGAAACTATTTATTTCAGTGAAAGTTTTTGTTAACATTTTTTGTTCTTTCAAACCATCTATGATTGACAGCATTGTGGACGTCTGTGAGACACTACCTATCCAATCATTCTAAATGCTTGAACTTTATTTCGAACGAAACCCCCGACCGTCGATAGCAGTTGGTAGAGCGGTGGACTGTAGGTGTTTCATGACGGATATCCATAGGTCGCTGGTTCGAATCCGGCTCGACGGAAACTATTTATTTCAGTGAAAGTTTTTGTTAACATTTTTTTGTTCTTTCAAACCATCTATGATTGACAGCATTGTGGACGTCTGTGAGACACTACCCTATCCAATCATTCTAAATGCTTGAACTTTATTTCGAACGAAACCCCCGACCGTCGATAGCTCAGTTGGTAGAGCGGTGGACTGTAGGTGTTTCATGACGGATATCCATAGGTCGCTGGTTCGAATCCGGCTCGACGGAAACTATTTATTTCAGTGAAAGTTTTTGTTAACTTTTTTTGTTCTTTCAAACCATCTATGATTGACAGCATTGTGGACGTCTGTGAGACACTACCCTATCCAATCATTCTAAATGCTTGAACTTTATTTCGAACGAAACCCCCGACCGTCGATAGCTCAGTTGGTAGAGCGGTGGACTGTAGGTGTTTCATGACGGATATCCATAGGTCGCTGGTTCGAATCCGGCTCGACGGAAACTATTTATTTCAGTGAAAGTTTTTGTTAAATTTTGTTCTTTCAAACCATCTATGATTGACAGCATTGTGGACGTCTGTGAGACACTACCCTATCCAATCATTCTAAATGCTTGAACTTTATTTCCAACGAAACCCCCGACCGTCGATAGCTCAGTTGGTAGAGCGGTGGACTGTAGGTGTTTCATGACGGATATCCATAGGTCGCTGGTTCGAATCCGGCTCGACGGAAACTATTTATTTCAGTGAAAGTTTTTTTGTTAAGATTTTTTTGTTCTTTCAAACCATCTATGATTGACAGCATTGTGGACGTCTGTGAGACACTACCCTATCCAATCATTCTAAATGCTTGAACTTTTATTTCGAACGAAACCCCCGACCGTCGATAGCTCAGTTGGTAGAGCGGTGGACTGTAGGTGTTTCATGACGGATATCCATAGGTCGCTGGTTCGAATCCGGCTCGACGGAAACTATTTATTTCAGTGAAAGTTTTTGTTGTTAAATTTTGTTCTTTCAAACCATCTATGATTGACAGCATTGTGGACGTCTGTGAGACACTACCCTATCCAATCATTCTAAATGCTTGAACTTTATTTCGAACGAAACCCCCGACCGTCGATAGCTCAGTTGGTAGAGCGGTGGACTGTAGGTGTTTCATGACGGATATCCATAGGTCGCTGGTTCGAATCCGGCTCGACGGAAACTATTTATTTCAGTGAAAGTTTTTGTTAAATTTTGTTCTTTCAAACCATCTATGATTGACAGCATTGTGGACGTCTGTGAGACACTACCCTATCCAATCATTCTAAATGCTTGAACTTTATTTCCAACGAAACCCCCGACCGTCGATAGCTCAGTTGGTAGAGCGGTGGACTGTAGGTGTTTCATGACGGTTATCCATAGGTCGCTGGTTCGAATCCGGCTCGACGGAAACTATTTATTTCAGTGAAAGTTTTTGTTAACATTTTTTGTTCTTTCAAACCATCTATGATTGACAGCAGCATTGTGGACGTCTGTGAGACACTACCCTATCCAATCATTCTAAATGCTTGAACTTTATTTCGAACGAAACCCCCGACCGTCGATAGCTCAGTTGGTAGAGCGGTGGACTGTAGGTGTTTCATGACGGATATCCATAGGTCGCTGGTTCGAATCCGGCTCGACGGAAACTA